AAGATTGTGCTCCTCGCACTCCTCACAGCCCTTCTCCCCAAATCCGCCTTGCGGCGCCACCCACATACCGGCTATTCTGAGTGGATAGAAGGCGCACGGCCTTGTGCCCCTCGTATAATAGTCTCTCCTACCTACAGGGGCATAGTCACACCCAACATATAATAGTCTCCTACCTACAGGGGCATAGTCACACCCAACATATAATAGTCTCCTACCTACAGGGGCATAGTCACACGCAACATAACTAATAGTCTCTCCTACCTACAGGGGCATAGTCACACACAACATACATAATAGTCTCCTACCGACAGGGCCATAGTCACACCCAACATATACAATAGTCTCCTACCTACAGGGGCAGTTTTTACACCCAACCAACATAAATAATACTCTCCTACCTACAGGGGCATAGTCACACCCAACATAAAATAGTCTCCTATCTACAGGTATAGTCACAGCCAACATACCAATCTCTGATCGCATCAACACGAGACTACAAGATAATAACAAAAAAAAACAAAAGAAATTACAAGAAGAGATGAAAAAAGATACAAGATAATACCAAAGAAAAAACAAATAAAACGTCGCAGTTCAAAGAAGATTAAAAAAAAGAACATCTACGTCTACAGCCATGAGCGGGGAGGCCTGTCTTTCTTGCTCATTTTCACATTGCTTGGGAGTAAAGAACAATCGGACAGCAGACCCCCAGAAAAGATGGGGCATGAATCGTGTGGTGGGTTAAAAAAGAAAAGAGAACCAAAAAAAGAGAGGACAACATCGTTACCCACGGCATAAGTGTAGTGATAAACTAAACTTGCCCCTATAGTAATAACTTTACTTATTACTGTAGATGTAGATACGATAGTCGGTGTAGTAAGTCCATAGTCACTGCGGTTTACTGCAGCCAGGCGTCGGGGAACGTGCGCGTTATGAGTAATGACTCTGTCTGTGCAGGAGCTATGAAGACTTCGTTGTTCTTGTCCATTGATGGATAGCGATTTTCAGTTTCTACTCTTCTCCTTCTTCTTCCTTCTTTCTCATTCTTCCTCCTTCTTCTTCCTTCTTTCTCCTTCTTTCTCCTTCTTTCTTCTTGCCAGTGTTGCTGAGTGTTGTATATGCGATTATGATATGAGAATAAGGACAGCGAAGCATGTACAACAACACGGTATACTGCATATATCGCTCTTGGTCTGCACCTCTCTCTCTCTCTCTCTCTCTCTCTCTCTCTCTCTCTCTCTCTCTCTGTGTGTGTGTGTGTGTGTGTGTGTGTGTGTGTGTGTGAGAGAGAGAATGAGTGTGTATGTCCGTGTGTCGATATCGCAAAGCCGCACAGACATGCTCCTTCATTTTCACGGGTCCCAATCCCGACGTGCACCATTGACCTTGGTCAGTCAAGACCGGACGCGCTCGAACTCGTCTTTCCAGCTCTTCAGGGTTGGCGTGTTGAGTTCCACAGGGGGTAATCCGTCCAAAGAACCCATTCATTGATTGGCCAATCGATGGCTGGCTTTATTCGATGACTGAATGATTAATTGATAGGTTGGTTGCTTGGTTGAATTATTTGATTGATTGATTGATTGGCTGGTTGATGATTGGCTGGCAAATCAACGACATATTTCTCTTTCAGTCATTTTGCCTTTCAGCCACTCTATTCACACGTCAATGAGCCATTGATTGATTGATTGATTGATTGATTGATTGACTGACTGGTTCATTGATTGGTGGGTTGGTTGGTTAGTTGATTGATTGGGTAGCCAAATGATATACCAACTGATCAATCAATCCATCAATCATCAACCAATCAATCAATCAATCAATCAATCAATCAACCATCAACCAACCAATCAATCAATCAATCATCAACCAATCAGTCAGTCAGTTAATGAATCGATCAATCGATCGATCAACCACTCAATCCGCCAATCAATCAAATATTCAATATTCATTGACTTTATTTTTTCAGTCCATTTACCCTTCAGTCATTCTATTCATACATTGAATGAGCGATTGATTATTTGATTGATTTGCTCATTGAGGAGTTGATTGGCTGATTGCTCGATTGATTCATTGACTGACTGATTGGTTGGTGATTGATGGGTTGGTTGATTGATTGGATGGTTGGTGATTGATTGATTGATCGACTGATTGATAGGTTTGTTGATTCGTAGGTTGATTGATTGATTGATTTGATTGGTTGATTGGTTGATTGGTTTGATTGGTTTGATTGGTTGATTGATTGATTGATTGGTCTGGTTGGTTTGATTGGTTGATTGATTGGTTGGTTGATTGGCTGGTTGATTGGTTGGTTGATTGCACGGTTGGATCGATCGATTCATTCATTCAATCCTCTCGAGTACATTCCGTAAAGTCCTTCATCCGTTTATTGGTGCTCTCTACAGCATCCTCAAACCGTGTCCAGACGTGAGAGAGAGAGAGAGAGAAAAAAAGAGAGGGAGAGAGCGAAAGATTGAATATCTTGCGAGCCTATCGAGAATTCGGCCTCGGCGATCCCATGACCAAAAAAACGCAAGTCGAGCTAGAAGCCAGATCGACCTATCGATTGATTACTTGATTGATTGATTAATTGCTTGCTTGATTGCTTTCCTGATTGCTTAAATGATTGCCTGATTGATTGTTTCATTGGTTCCTTGATTGGTTGCTTCAGTGATTGCTTGATTGGTTTTTGCTTGGTTCAGTTGATTGTGTACTCATCAGGCAATCAACCAAAGGGTTGGCCACGTGAGATCCTTATATTTTTCGTTTTTTCCCATTCTTCTTTTCTTGCTTCCTCTTCCTTTTTTTTCCCCCTTTCCTTTCCCTCCCTCCCTCTCTTTCCCTCCCTCTCTCCCTTCTCCTCCTCCTTTCGTTAAAGGAACAACGGCCTTGAGAGAGATATCATCAGTGAGCTGACCGGCCGAGGGTAATCCAGATTTTTATTTTTGATTGGATCTGGCTTCGAACTTGGGTCTGTATTTGACCAAGTTCATGCGTGTACCAACGGAGGTAGGCGCGTTGGTCACAGATCTCTTTGGGGAAACAGCTTATCAATAGCTTTCGAGTTGTGGAACGAGGCGCGATCGATTCAATCAACCAATCAGATCGATCAATCAATCAAACAACAATGTCATCAATCAATCAATCAACCAATCAATCAATCAGATTGATGGGGCCCAGTCAGATCGATTAATCAATCAGTCAGCCAGATGGATCAATTAGTCAGTGTCAATGAACCAAACCAGTTAACTGATCAATCAATCAATCAATCAATCAATCAAAATTCTCAATCAATTGGGGAAAACAGAAAATGCTCGCTCATTCCAATAGCATAAATGAAGTCAAGCGACTGATGAGCACTTTCTTTTCTTTTTTTTTTTGTTTCCTCTTTTTGAAATCGTGGCGGCTGATGGCTGGAAAATTTTTATTTTTTTTTCCGCTATTTCTTTTTCAAGCGGGATAGCCCCTACCGTCTTCACCCGAACAGAACGCCCGATCATTGTAGCCGTATTTGGTCTACTTTTCAGTCCAGATACGACTATAATAACCGGGCGTTCTATTCGGGTGAAGACGGTAGCATTTGCATTACTGTAACTAACAAACTCGTAATAGATTCGTGATCTTTTTTTTTTTCCTCTTTTTTTTTTTCTTTTTTTTTTTTTTTTACTGTAATACCGTTGACGTTCGTCCGCCTGACAGAGGTGCCAGCTTACGCCACGTGGAGGATCCATCAATTAGGACGACGGGAAGCTGCACGCGCTGAGCTATGGGGGCATAGCTTTTCTTTTCTTTTCTTTTCTTTTTCTTTTTTTCCTTTTTTTTCTTTTTTTTTTCCTTCTACGTGGCTCGGGGGTAACAAATGTGAACCGCAACGCTACCACTCTCTTTTTTTTTTCTTTTTTTTTTTCTTTTTTTTTCCCAAACAGCTCTAATCTGTCGACGACGGGCTAAAGTAAATGACCGGAGAAAAAGGGAGGGGGGGGAGGGGGGGGAAATGATGGGAGATCAGTGGCCTCCGAGGCCGCGCTTCTCTTCATTTTTTAATCCCCGACGCCCCAATTCCTCCCCCCCCCCTCCTCCCAGGAACGCCCCATTTTTCTGATCGCCCGTAGAAGTGCTGTAAAAGCTTTTTTTGCTTTTTCTTTTCTTTTAGGGGTCAGGTGGGAGGGGTTAAAGGGGGAGAGGGGGGAAAGTGGGGGCCGGGCCGCCAGAGCGTGCCCGCTCATTTATGTCAGGCCCGTGATCCCGTGATTAGTTTACCATCAATTCAATCACGGCGGCGACATCCGTGGGCAAGGTCCCACTTGCGCAAATTCGGAGATCTCGGCCGTTGATCTTTGCTATCTACGGTCAGTATCTCTTAATTCGTGCAAGTGGGACCTCGCCCCGTGATGCTATTGCGCGCCAAGTTCGTCATCCATCTGCCAGAACCACGATCACCCCACGCCTTTGTTTTTTCGTTTTTTCGTTTTTTCGTTTTTTCGTTTTTTTCCCCTTACCTGACGATGGTGCCAGATGTTTCAGTTTGGCGCCTTCCCGCTGCGCCCGGGCTAGGTCCCACTTACACGAATTAAGCGATATTGACCGTAGATAGCAAAGATCAACGGCCAGATTCTCGTAATCCGTGCAAGTGGGACCTTGCCCCCGAGCAGAAGCAGCTATCTCCGAAATTCCCGCCTCCTTCCTTTTGCTCTTGGCGCCTTCCTCGTTCCTCGGAGAAGCGGCTGCTGTTTTTCGGCTCTTTTTCTTTCGCTTGGCGCTCTTTCGAGCGGATGCAGTGCAGCTATCTCCAAAATTCCCGCTCTTTTTCTTTCGGCTCTTTTTCTTTCGCTTGGCGCTCTTTCGAGCGGATGCAGTGCAGCTATCTCCAAAATTCCCGCTCTTTTTCTTTCGCTTGGCGCCTTCCTCGCTCCTCCGAAAAGCAGCCTCTATGTTCGATTCCCGCCTTTTCTTCTCCGGCTCGCATAGCGCACTTGAAACAGGGTGAACACATCGGCACACGACGGGAGAGGATCTCACGGTGGAGTGTGGAATGTGCCGAAAATTTTCCGCTCGTCAATTGGCCTACCGTCGGTACAACTACGAGCTGTCAAAACCTATAGAGCCAGGTTCGAATCGGGGCGTCGGTCCCACCTACGAATTTCCGTTGTAGGACGCTACCACGAAGCGACTGGCGGGCGTCTAGGGACCATCGATTGTGTCAATCCATGGTCCTTAGGCGCCCGTTATTCTCTTCGTGGTAGCCTGTACATTTTCCCCTTGTTGGCTTGTAAGGGACGCTGGACCCGATTTCCAGCAGGTGTTGCTCCCCACCAATAGACCGGTTGCTAGGGGGGTCTGCTCTTACCAGCGCCTCTAGCAAACCCGGGTTTTGTTAAAAAATAAAAACAAAAATAAAAAAAAATTACCTGGGGCCGGTCAGTTAAAAAAAATATATCAAACGGCCTAGCTCAGTTGGTAAGGCACGCAAGTGGCATTCAGGAGGTTTTGGGTTCAATCCCCATTGGCCTCATGTACCTTCCTGGGCAAGCTTGGCGCCCGCCACCTAGAGATATGCCGTTGGTCCCCCCGAGTGGCATTGAGCAGAGACTGCTGATGTTCATAGGGGGAGGGGACCGGAGGGGAGGCACAGTGACTGGCCCATCGAAGAAGCTCGGTCCTGATGCTACCGGCTGACCCCTGGCCGGTATCGCCCACCTGCTGTAGCAGGTATCGCACCTGCTGGTGGGTGCAGCTCCCGCATGTTCCCTCGTTGGAGGCTTGAGCACGGATGTGGCTGCTACGGGGTTCCCCGTAATACTATCTATAATGACAATAAAAAAGAGAAGGCCTGGAAGGCCGTCCTGTCCAGATTTGACAGGTAATTGAATTGGTTGGGCTTAAAAGAATTAGCCTTTACAAACAAACAAACAAACAAACAAAAAAATTAAAAAATTAAAAAATTAAAAAAAAACAATATATAAAACTGTCGGGCACTGTAACGGTTTCAGTTTGGAAAAGGCGTGCAGTCACGATTTGGCAAATGTTGTGTCAGGAGGAAATTCGTGAATGTATGCAACCTACCTTTGGGATCGGGTGGGGATGTGTTGTATTCGAGGGATGCCTGAACTGGATTTTAAACTGGTGACTGTGCCCTACTAGTTACCTACAGCCACAACAAAACAAGCAGCTTATTTTATTTATGTATGCGCCCATACATGTCTCGTCCGTGCGTTCGGGGGACGAGGGGGTGTGGTGCAGTGATTGCCTTTCATTCAAAACATGTAAATCTATATGAGTAAAGAGTCACAGAGGAGCGTGAAGGTAGGCTCAAGCTAGCACTTTGCGCAGCTGTAGAGCGTAATGGTCAAAGCCTGCATGACTGTGAGACCTCGGCCATAGCGATCCGGGGGCCCGTGTGGAAGCGCTTTCGCTCAATGGATCAAAGGTAGAAAAAGTGGTATCCTTATTCCAAGTAGTTTGGCTAAAATCATAAAATGCCAATTATATACAATTTCATTTTGTTTGTTGTTTTTCTAGATGTTGTCAACATGGCTTGCAACTCTTTTTTATCCAACTCAATCGAATGAGATTGAACTGGCGCCGCTGCCACTTCGTGGCCTTGGACATGTAAGTGTCACCGTGAAAACCAAGCCAAGTTTGATTCTCAGGGATGGTCAACGCTGAGTTTGGAAGAATGATACATCATTAGCCAAGTTATTGAAATGATTGTGGATGCTATCTATGGAGTGCCCTCTTCTATTGGGCCTCGTAAAGCATTGTGCAAAGTATGAAATTGGAAAAATACAAGATGGTTAGTGAAGGGTGAAGCTCGGTGTATAAGTGGCGCCTTGTTATCACAAATTCTAGATCAAACCAGGTGCCAAAATGTTAAGTCAAATTATATATATATATATATATATATATATATATATATATATATAATATAGTCAAACAGAGCTGCCCGGTAAATCGTAGGCTGAGAGGGAGAAGAGGACAACAAAGGAGGGGTTGTGACAAACTGTTTCGTCAGAGTTTCACCAACTCATCAGGAGGCTGAACCCTCAACAGTCTGCAAAATCCGCTAACTTATTACACTGTAAGTGATAATCCACCTTAACCCCGGTCGCGGTTAAGCATCAACGACTGCCCGACAACTGATACCCTGAGGTGGGCACCAACCACTGTCCTCAAGGTACCTGTTACGGAAATAAAACCAGACTATCACTCACCCACACCAGATGGAAAACTCTACAGATTGTCGGTTCACACCCCATCACAAGCAAGCAAAACACCCACGATATATATATATATATACATATATATATATATACATATATATATATATATATATATATATATATATATATACGGTTTTTTTCGGTCAGGTCGAGCGGCAGTGGTCGGGGCCGTTACTAGGCGGCCATGCTGTGCCTCTAGTGTCAGCGGCGTGTCTGGAGTGTATTTTTTGGCTGTGACAGACCTTTCTTTGTTTCGT